ACCTACAATGATTTGTCTTTCCTAGCTAGTGAGTGGAAGAAAAGCCATCTCATCACAGCCTTTCATTGTTCGTATCATTTGCTGCTATATATATTATGTAGCCTTTTCATCTGCTCATCATGATCAACAGTTTAGAAAGAAAATGACATGCATTACCTCAACATTTGTGCTTCCTTAATTTTTTATCATCTCATGCTTTGCCATGTTCTTCGATCATCTCTCAAGTCTCGACCATGCATGCAATGCTAGCTAGTGATCAATTCCTGCACTTGTATAAAAGCCCTCCAAATTAAGATGAAACAAGTGCTGATCAAAGGTTGAAACCAGCCCAGTTGATAGAAAAGGAAAAAAAAAATATACTACAAACCAAGAAAGCTTGAATTATTTGAATTACAAGTCCATTGCTGGGTCCAATAGGATCAGGTGTAGCTAGCCAAAGGGTATCTCTCCATGAACTGGCCCTAGCTAGCTAGCTCTTCAGTGTGGTTATGGCCCTACAAGGCAAAAGCCGAACCAACACACCACGTGTTTAAGTTATCAAGTGAATTGGGGGGGGGTTGCTAAATTCTTGAATAATTAAAGTGAAAGATTTAGGAGTTGCTCCAACAACATCTTCGCCTGCTTCATTTTATACGCTCCTGGCCCCCTCTGAGAATATTTACAAATGCTTGATGCCATCCCTGCTTTCCCATCACAACCACCACAACATCAAAAGACAATGTTAGCTTCAGCTCTTTGACTGGTCCTCTTTTGTCAGGACATCAAGCCCAAGTACTTTATCTTTTCTGGGCCAGCAAGAGCTATCCAAAACTTCCAAGGAAACCTAAACCTGGGCTTCCGAGCCACGTCCCATTACTGAGCCCAATGAGCAGACCTGGGGGCATACCCACCAAAAAACAAAAGAACGAAAAAAAAAAGGCGAAGACAAAAAATCTAGAAAGAAATGTCAAAAACATGGTGATGGTGAACTTAACTCGGGAAATCTATCTTCACTCATAGTTTCCTTCCATTCAGGATAATATTGCTTGCACATATGACTAAAGCCCCTTTTAAAAGAATCCCGTAGAAACGCCTCATGGTCATGGCATCCCTAATTTCAACCTCAGCATCCTTGTGTTCAACTTCAACAAGCACAAAATCAGCTCTCTACCCTCTCCCCCCCTCTCCTCTAATCCCGTACCATAAAGCACCCAAATTTGGTCTCTCGACATGGATTCCCCAACTGTGTCTTGGTCCTTTCTCTCAGTGGAGTGGTTTAAAGCATCTGGGTATCTCATTCTCTCCCAATTTCGTTGCAAAAGGTAATTATGCCCTTTTCATCTGGGCTTCCTTTCTTTAAGTTTCTTATGGGTTAATTTGGTTTCGCTTGTTCGTTTTCCTGTTGTTTTATTCTTGTTGACGTGTGGTGGTGATACAGAGAGGAAAGGAAGGTGTAAGGGTAAGGTGATTCATGCATCTTTGTTCGGTGTTGGGGCTCCTGAGGCTCTGGTTATTGGTGTGGTGGCTTTGCTGGTTTTTGGTCCCAAAGGTCTTGCTGAGGTTAGTTGTGTAACTTATTTGCTGCTTTGCCCCTTTTTAAAGATTTTCTGTAGCAAAAGGTCTGGCAATGCTGGAAGGGTTAATGTAAACCTAGATGAGCATCATTTTGTTTCTGTTGTTATTTTATTTTTGCACTTGAAAGTGTTTGCTCATCTCACTCTTTTTAGCAATTCTATGAGACAAGGATTGTTAAATTGCTTGCTACCTATGTTATGGAGTTCCGTGCGAATTGTATAATAAGCCATTAAAGTTAGAAAACCCTATGCCTTTTATTTTCCATCAATTTGAAGATTGTTTGGTGCAGCATTAAAAACTAAATCTAGAACCCTGTCCAGGTATCTTGACGACACTGTAGCACCTTTTGCGTTTCTGTAGCAATTAACTGCCAAGTTTTAGAGTGCATGTTTTTATTAATTATCCTGTTGTCTGAAAAGAAAAGATTCTTGTGGTGTCTCCATTGAATTATCTAAATGCAGGTTGCCCGCAATCTAGGGAAAACTCTACGTGAATTTCAACCCACAATTAAAGAACTTCAGGTTGGTCATTGAAACTTTAGTTTTAATGGAATTGTTCCTGCCAGTTATTTGTGTAATTGTATATAATTGATTCGACCCTTTAAATTTAATATAGGAGGTGTCAAGGGAATTCAAGAGCACCCTGGAGCGAGAGATTGGGCTTGATGAAATTTCAAATCAAACTCAAAACACATATAGCTCAAAGATAACAAACACTGCATCAAAACCTTCATCAGCTGGCAGCACTGATATTTCTCCCACCGTGACTGGCCCCAGTGAGTGATCTTTTTTAAATAATAGCTGCTACTTTCCTGTGATACCATTACTGGTATCAGATTCAGATGGTGATATTTGACTTGTAGTACTTCATACTATACTATTAATTAGTAAATTGACATTTACTTATTTTTACTCCTTCACTGAACTTTTTGGATCTGATAGCATTGGAGCATGAGTAAATACTAGTACTTTTCTTTAGCATATGTAAACTCTTATCAAAGTTGGTATGTTCACTGACAGTTGCTAATTGCTATAAACCACAAAGGAAGGTTTAAGAATGACATTTCTCTATAGCACTGTTCATGCCATTTGGCAGTTTTCTTCTCAGAGTTTATCAAATATAATTTGAACCTCAATCCTTCTAAATTGTAGAACCAACCATGTTTCCCTGAACAAGTAGCTGAATGTCATAAGTGGATAAGGTTCAAGAATCGATATCTGGGGTTGAAATAAGTGATCGTTTAAAACCTTCCTCCAAAGCTGATTTATGCACACTTCATTGACGGGATAACCATGGTTACCTAGCAGGATTGTTTTGAATAGCTTCGGTCATTGTTTTTAATTGACTCAAGTTGTGGTTGTTTTCTTGATTGAATAATCAAGTCACTACAAAATACTGTGGTTTCCGTTTCCCTATATTAACAATGGCTTCACTACAAGACTGATGAGAGACATTGTCTTCTGTTCAAAAAAATTTAGATGGTGCTCCATCCCCAAACAGAGCTTATACCAGTGAAGAGTACTTGAAAATCACAGAAGAGCAGCTAAAAGCATCCGCTGCTGAACAACAGGGTCTGTCAACCCCTCCAGTAGAAAGTCAGTTGGAACCTGAAACTCAGATTCGGCCACAAGGTTAGCCATTCTTCCTACTAAATTTGTTCTCGGACATCTATCTCTGTCTTCCCCTCTCCCTAAATTTCCTTACATCTTGTATATGAACTCGAATCAGAGTCTGTTAAAGAAACTGCTGGTGCGATGCCTTCTCCAGAAAAGCCAGAAAATGAAGTGCAAAACTCTTAAGTAACACAGTGCAAACGAACTGCTGCAGCTGTCCATTTTTTGATGTCGGAGAGGAGACTGCCGAAGCATGAATTAATCAGGTGCTCAAGAACGAGAGCAATGGAGCTCTATCCTCTCGTTTTTTTGGGTGGCAGAGTGAAACAACAAGAGAATAGCCTTTAGAAATTCTATATGAAGAGGATATTGTGACGATTAACAAGTGTATGATTCTTGAATATGTTGTAAAATATGAATTTTTTTTGTTAATGAAGCTTTCGGAATTAATTAGGTGCCCTTTTGTTCTGCACGAATGTCATGTTCTTTTCAAGGAGATTACTGCACACGGCCTCTTGAATACCAGATGTGAATGTTCCAGATAAAAGTAGTGCTTGATTTGATCCCATACAAGTTGATCTGCCTTTTGTAAGTCTATATAGCATGGAGTTTACAATTGGAAATCAGAGGCTGCGGCCAATCAATTCAGTTCAATACATCTGCCAATCGTATTGCAGTGCCGGATTCTGCACGGGGAGAGAGTAAAATGATGGTAATTATTGCGGTAACCTTACTTAAGCTCTTCTATGAGGCCGTATTTTTTGCTCTCTTTTCCCGATGCACTCTTTGGCCTAAATCAGGTCTAAGCAAAAGAATCGATTAAAACAAGAAAATTAAAAAAAAAAATTAAAAAACTAAACCATAAAAAAAATTTGAATAAACAAATTAGAAAAACTTAAAAAAAATTCCATTCCATTTAGTTTTGGTTTCCAAGGACTAAAACCGAATTAACCGACCGAACCGGTCCAAAAATGACTAACCCCCCCCCCCCCCCCCCCCCCCCTTCCCTGAGACAATCACAATAACATTCTCAATCTCTCAATCTAAATCAATATCTTCATCTTTCAACTCTCTTCTCTAAATCAAAGCTGCTCTCCAAGCTCTCTGGTTCGTAGGTTTACTGGTCTTCTCTCTTCATCCTTTTGCAGGGAGTGTTAAGGTGGCTTGAGAAACATTGAGTTATGTGTGCAATGTACTGTACATATAATAAAAAATTGAACAGTTGAGTGACCATGGCTTTTTTTACATCAAACCCTCTGGTGACTTCTTAGCCGCCTTCTCTTGTTAGTTCCTTTTCAGGGATGACAATTTATTAATAGTTGTATCTGGAAGAGAAACAAAAGCTGGTAAAGCTACCTTTTGTCTCCTTGTTGAAGCACCTTCATTTATTGGTTTTTTCTGGTTTTGAATCTTAAATAACCAAACCGAACAAACAAGAAATAATTGGTTTAAATTGTTTTTGGTTTTAAATCTTATATAAAAAAATTCAAGTTGGTTGTTTTATTCGAGTAAAAATCAAACCAAACTAAAAATACTCATTCCTAACCTAAATAGTAGAAGTTTTGCGTGATTTTTCGAGAGCTGTTGAGACGTGAAAGGTTAATTTGTTAAAATACGGCTGGAAATGCTTTTAAAAGTGTGTTTGAACCTAAAAATTAATGCTTTTCTTGGACATGATTCTAGATAATTTTTACAAGGAGATATAAAAACCATTTCAAAACACTTTAAAAAACATCAAATCAGTTGAAAAGCAACTCATACTTGTCGTCATCTATTCTTGTCCCTTTTATTGTTGCAACTACAGGGAAAAAGAGAGAAAAGAGAAGCGGATATGGAATTTTCTTTTCATTTACATTAGCTAATTGGCTAGTTTTTTATGCAAGTGTTTCTTTACAACAAATTCATAGGTAGGTGGGATTCAAAATCTAGATAATCTCCATTTGCCTGCCCACTATAACCATACATATCAAAGACCTTGTCTTCTGAAGGCATATTCCCACCCTCTCGTCCTCTACAACCTTCCACTGGTGATGATGCCCAAGGGGCTGGGGTTGAAGGGTTAGCACTAGAGGCCTCTTGGTTTAAACTGAAAGTACTTGGATTCTGAGGAGAATTTCCAGCTGGCCTTCTGTTGGAGGAATTGGCTGCCGTCAGAGAAATAGATACTGATTGCTGCTGCTGAATTTGCTGCTGGTTCTTCAGTGGTGACTTGGGGCGTAGAGCCTCTATATCAGGGGTAGTCACAACAAGATGAGGCGCCTCAGGAGGAGGATTTCTTCCACCCCCTCCTTGCCAAACTTTGCCATCCTTGTCAGCAAAATTCCTGATGTACGCCTGAAAGTTACCAAATCTAGGTTTAGCATACCAAAGAGGAACTAGGATGACAAGCATGAACAAAGCATTCATATTAGAAAACAAGTGTCACAGCACCAAAAATTGCAATTCGATTAAACAACTGAAGTCTTAGATTGTTGGCCAGCACATTAAGAGAGTCCACGTGAAGGGAAAAGGAGTGTTATGATTAGAAGTAATCATGATTCTGAATGATACTGTACCTCAGCATTGAAATTTGATGAAGATAATTCTTTACCAGCAGTCAGCCAACCAGATCGAATATTGTGATCTTCGCCAAAGAGCTCAAGCCTTCTGCGGCCTAGAGAGAAATGCTCAATTATCCGATACATGTCTTCAGGCTTTAGAGTTGAGCCTGCAATTCCATTGGCATAAAACACATTACTATGTCTCATAGCATCACCCATTTTAAGGTGACGCTCTACAACATTCTTGTAAATTTCCAGCTGAAGGAAGCATGTATTGTAAATGTCACATTTTATAACAAATAAAACAAGAGCCAAAAATGAGGAAAGAATGCATGCATAACAAATTCCATTATTATATTGTGAGAACAGACAGACAGCTGGCAGTAAAACAGAAAGTAATGCAGCAGCTCTTCAGTTTCTAATCTATATCATTCACAAACCAAACACAAGTGTAGTTATGTGGACTCATACCAACCAGGGCCAAAAATTTCAACGAGGAAATACACTGACCATAAGGAGGTTCCTCAGCAATAATTACATCGGTATCAATGTTAGCATGGATGATGTGACCATCAGTGCCGCGGCGAACAGTTCCTTTTATACCCATCAAGCAGTGTTCCTTCATTTCAATGACAAGGCAATAAACAGTCAAGGAAAAAAATAGATGAACTTGTGAGAAGTCAAAGTCGGGGAAAGTTGCCCACTTTTACAACGCAGAAGAAAAATCAAACACCAACCTTTGAATGCTGAAACAAAGTACGGGAATCATGTCGGAGCCCTGGAGTTGCATTGCTTTTGTTGGTCTTCACCCAACAAATATCTTCACATCTCCGAAATCCCCACTGCAGTGATGGAAAACTAAATTAAATTATATAAATTACAGATTATTTTACAGCAGATGATATGGGTGGAGCCAAAAAGAAAAGGCCAAGCAATTGTCAAGTTCAAATCTGAAAGTACCACTGATTTAACAGAACATATATGAGGAGCCAAAAATGAATAGGTAAGCCATTGTCAAATTCTAAATATAATGGCTGAATACCTTCTTTAAACAGCGGCGGCCTTGCTCAAGACCAACACCATCACCCACCCAGAGGAAGATAAAAGAAGGCGTATCTGCTATTGCCTGTAACCACATGGGGAAAAAAAAGACTTGAGACAAGTCAAAAGGAATAGGAAATATAACATCTATTTATAAAAGAACAATGCAGCTTATATCTACGCTTTGAACATTAGCAACTGATGGCCCTGGGTACCAATATGAATAGCCTTTGCATTCCAACTGCACTTTAATGGCATGCAATCACTCTTGCAAGTAGAGCAATCAATTCTTAATCAAGGTAACAAAAATACAACTACTCATTTTCTATGAAAGGCAACTGCAAGGAAAAGAGAGTTGGAAACAATGTACCTCAATCTTAAGATTTAGTATTTCTTCAAAAGTCCAATACTCCATATGGTCAGCAACACCAGGAGCTCGATGAACATATTCCTCCCATGGAGGGTCCACCAAAATAACATCAAACTTGGTTCCAAAGAACTCTGGAGACAGCTCAAACTCATGCAGGTCACATTTCATGTACATAGGAGGAGATGCAGATTTAGCCACAATCTCATCCTTTTTCTGTATAAGCTCCCTAAGCTTGGGGTAATCCTCTACAACACTGGTCAGCTCCAGCTCTCTGATAAAGTTCTGGGGTCGCATACCAGTATCAACAAAATTCTGTGAGTAATCATTCTGCTCTCCTCTTGAAGGAGCTTTACCTGGAGGACCGTTATTTCTAGGAAGAATCCAACCCCCGGCATTTTGATCTGGTGGTGTTCCTCGTCCTACTGATCCAGAAGCATTAAAACCAAGACCAGGTATGCTTGGAGGCATTTCCCTGCCAGGTCCTGCTTGATTAAAAAACATTGTAGGGTTTGATGGATTTGTTCCCATGTTAGGGGGAAATCTTGGCGTTGTGGGCCCAGGAGGAATAGCAGAGAAAGCAGGGGGGACACCAAGCATATTCATCTCCACACCTCGGGCGCCAGCCCAAACAACTGGTGAAGAAAAAGGTGGAATGAAGACACCTGGACTAATTGGAGGACATGGAGCATGTGGCATACTAGGACCAAGAGGCTGAAGTGCTCCAGGTGGTTGCATTTCAAGAGACCCAAAAGGTGATCCCATTAATGGCAACGGGAGTGTAACCTGTTGGCTATCTCTCCCAGCAGGCCTCCCCCTTCCTCCTCTCCCTACTCTACTTCCTTTTACTCCCTGTGGAGGACCTCTGCCTAAGGAGCCTGGATCCTGGTTTCTATATGGAGTCTGTGAACCACTGCTAGAACTTTGACCACCAACACCGCGACTGGGCATGGTCCCCTTTTGGCCTCTCTCTTTCCCTCCCTGGCACTCAACCTCATCCCTCCAAGAACTCAGATCTCGCAATGGTGCATCATCATCCCTATACTTCTCCTTTGAGTCTCCAACAAAAGGTGAGTCGTTCCTTCTTTCCCTTTCACCTTGCATGTATGGCCACTCTTCAGTGTTTGGCGCTGATTTTACATCAGACTGCTGACTGACCTCAATCCTCCTAGCAAAGTTGGATCTAGCCTCTGGTCGTCCATGATCAAGCGGGACCTCTATCACATCATAATTATCATTTGAAATCCCAAAATTTGATGAGGTTTTCACAGCTTCACCCCTGCTTCGACCATGAGGTCTTTCATTGTCATTCCTTTCACGACCATGTCTTGGCTCCCAGTCTCTTCCACGATCATAAGCAATATCCCCACAATCATAAGCAATGTCCCCGTCTTTTGGCTCCCTATCATTACCAGAAGGTTGTCTTCTTTTCCAGTTCTCTTTGGAACTTTCCCGATCCCTGTTCCTGTCATTCCAGCTGTCATCCCTGCCTTTTGATCTATAATCCCTGTAGCCATCCTTTTCTTGATCCTTCCGTCTTGTGTCAACATCTCTTTCATACTCTATTTCAGAATGTTGAGATTCTTGATGATGCCTAATGCTCCTCTCAGGAGTCCTGGACCTATTAGACCGCCCTACTTCTCTTGCACTTTTATCTCCCACCCATGTGTTTCCATCTTCTTCTGCATTGGAGGACCTTTCACGGCTTTCAGAAACATCTTTTCTAGTGGGAGTTCTCTGCTCTCTATGCTTCTCAATTTTCTCCCAACCTGATCTATCTTCAAAGGTGATAGGAACAGCCCCGTTATCTTCTTTGGCAGCTTCTGACCTGCTTTTACTCTTATTCTTCTCCCTGTCTGCATCAGCTCTTTTGTCATCTCTGTTGCTAGTTTTGGCACCCTTTTCACTGTTTGAATCCAAACCTCTGCTTTTACTCTCACTAGGTTCGATTCTAGCACTTCTTTCTTTAGACTCGTGATTGGAATCAGACATCTTTCCACTTATGAAATCAGACTTTTCATGATGATTTTCTTCGGCTTTTCTGTTGGAGTCAGATTCATCCCACCTTCTCCTAGAATTTTTCCCTGTCTCAGCAGAACCGTGACCTTTCTCTCGGCTGCTATCCTTCCTTTCTGAATATCTAGAATCTCTACCCAGTGCCTTTTCACTCTCTCCATCATAGGATCTTTCTTCTCTACTTTTACTTGCCTTACGGGAACTCTCATGCTCCGAGATCTTTGTTAGCATTTTCCTTCTCTCGCTTTCATCAGGGCGACCATGGCCTTTACCAACAGACTTGTCACCTCCACTCTGCTTATTGTCTAATTCTCCATCCTGATACCAACTGCTCAATTTTTCCAAACTACTTTCCTCCTGTTTTTTCTTCATCTGCTTAGACCGCATCTCTTTTCTCGTCTCATAATCATCTTCATCACTACCCACTTTATTTGACCCACCACCACATGACCTCTTACGACTATCATTCCTGTCCCCGCCTGAAGTTCTCCTTCTCCCAACCCCATCGAATCCTTCAGCATCCTCCCCATTGGTGGACATCCTAGGCTTGATAGACCTGTGTTTCCTCTTGTCACTCACGTCCCATTCTTCATCATCCCCGCCCCTATCACTCTTCACATCTGAACTATCTTCTACATCCTTTCTCCCATAACTACGACTAGACAATAAAAGAACTGTTCAAGGATCAATAAAAAACAGTGACAACGAGATTAAAAGAGTTGAAATTTACAAATTAAACAAACCCTATAAAACAGAAAATTTCTAGAGGTAATAAAATAGTAAGAAAGGAGCAGGCAAGCGAAGTCAAGTCCAGTCAAGGGGGTCCAGTTGAATAATTAAAAAAAAAATCAAAATTATTTTTATTGCTTCGAAGTCTAATGACCTAACTGAGAGAAGGAAAAAGAAAAGAAACTATTTTTATTGCAATTGGACAAAGAAAAGAAATTTAGGAGCATTGACTTCAACTAAATTCAAATAAAAGAAGAAAAATCGAGAAATAAGAATTAATAGGTAACCTGATCTGATGATTAGTGGGGAGAAGGGAAGGAAGGTTTGGGATTTTGCTGAAGAAATCAATCAATGAATTAATGCATTGATGAAACTGAAATAGACAAGGAAACCAGCACCCTGCCCTGCCCCTCTTCCTCTGAGATTGAATTTCTTCTTTTAGAGACTGAAGAACAAAAAATATTAAATTAGGGTTTTTCGTTCTTCGGCAACAGAGACTGGTTTCAAACTAGAAACGTGGCAAGCTGTGGGTTAATTTTTATATATAAAAAAATATTTTAAAAAAATAAAATATAAAAGTGTTATGTTTTTTTTAAATAGATACCTAAAAATATTAATCTCTCAATAATATCTCATACAAAAATTATATTCATTATATTAATAATAATATTAAATTTACATGATTTAATTTTAAGTAGATTTGACTATAATATTAGACTAAAAATCTTACATATAAATCTCATATTATAAAAATATAATAATTAAAAATTAAAAAAATAATTTAAAATAAAATAAAATAAAGTATCATTCTAATAAACAGTGCTTTGCAACGAGAGATACAGTAAAATCTCCTCATGAGATTATAATATTCTAATAAACATTAAACAAAACAAATCATAAAATTTAATTTTTAATCAAATCGATATTAAAAAATAAAATTAAAAGAAAAAAACTTTTAAAAATCGGAATCAGATAGTTTAACCCATCAAATCAGGTTAACCCTTTAACACATGTGATTCATGTTATGATAGTATGATAATTAAATAGTAAAAAAAATTAATATTAATAAACTAAATTAAAAAAAAAAGATTAATTAAAAAGAAAAAACAAAGGAAAAAAACCTATAAGAAGAAAAAACTCATGAAAAAAATTGAATCAACTCGGTTAACAGGTCAAACCTGAAATCCATATCATGAAAATTTGATAACTAGATAGAAAAAAAAAACTTAATATTAATAAACTAAATTAAAAAAAATTAAAAAGAAAAAACACAAAAATAATAATTAAAGACATCAATTTTTTCACTATAGACTTCATTATACAGTCCACATTAAAATATTGATGTCTTTTAGTTATTGTTAATTACAATATTAAAAGAAAAAATTAGAAGAAAAAACTAATAAAAAAAAAGAAAAAAATTTGAATCAGCTGAATTAACCTACCAAATCATGTTAACCCATCAAACATGAGATTCGTGTTATGAGAGAAATAGAAATAAATTAACATTAATGAAATAAATTAAATAGAAAATATTAATTAAATAGAAAAAAAACAAAGGAAAAAAGCCTATAAGAAGGAAAAAACTAATGAAAAAAAGAAAAAAAAATAAAATTAAACTAGGCTAACTCATCAAACCTGGAATCTGTATCATGAAAGTTTGATATTTAAATAGAAAAAAAATTATAATATTAACAAACTAAATTTAAAAGATATTAATTAAAATGCAAAAACAAGCAAAAAAAACACTACTAAAAAAATATTAATTTAAAAGAAAAAAAAAGGAAAAAAAAACTACATGTAAAAAAACTAACAAAAAAAAGAAAAAAAAAACTAAATTAATTGGGTTAACCCTTCAAATCACGTTAACCCGTCAAATATGAAATTCATGTCATGAAAATTTGATAATTGAAAAAAAAAATTACGAGTCAACCCAGAATTAGCTGAGGTAACCTGTCAAATCTGACATCCGTGTTGTAAGAGATCCCACATTAAAAGCGAGCATCCAGAGCCAGGACTTTATAAGTGCATGCTCATCTTGACTAGTATAACGCATTTTAGAGTCATGCATGACTGTCAAGAACAAAACTGTGAGGGGGACCTGGGTGGAAACCTTGGATTTGGGTGGACTGGGATGCCTAAAGCGGACCATATCTTACTAGTAAGGTGGGATGTTACATTTGATATCAGAGCTAAGGACGACTCGTTTTAAAGTAGGGGGATTGTAAGAAATCCTATATTGGAAGCAAGCATCCAGAGCTAGGGCCTTATAAGTGCATGCTCATCTTGACTAGTAAGACGCGTTTTAGGGCCATGCATGGCTGCTAAGAATAAAACCGTGAGGGGACCTAGGTGGAAGCTCTGCATTTGGGTGGACTGGAGGCTCAAAGCAAATAATATCTTACTAGTGAGGTAAGATGTTACACGTATCATGAAAGTTTTATAACTAAATAGAAAACATTAACATTAACAAACTAATTTAAATGAAAAATTTAATTAAAAAGAAATCCACAAAAAAAAACATGGGTTAACTTGTCAAACTTAAAATCTATGTTATGAAAGTTTTATAACTAAATATAAAAAAAAATTAGCATTAAAACTCAATTAAACAAAACAAATATTCATTAAAAAACCAAAGAAAAATGAAAAAAAAAACACTCAACCTTTTAACTATTGATTAATTACAATATTAAAAGATGAAATTAGAAGAAAAAACTAATGAAAAAAAAATCTGAATCAACTGGGTTAACCTACTAAATCAGGTTAACCCGTCAAACATGAGATTCATGTCATGAGAGTGTGATAAAAAAAATAGAAAAAAAATTAACATTAATGAACCCTTTTATAGGCATCCATGCTTTGTTGTTAATATTGGTGGCCACATGAGATTCATGTCATGAGAGTGTGATAAAAAAAATAGAAAAAAAATTAACATTAATGAACCAAATTAAATAAAAAAGGATTAATTAAAAAATAAAGGTAAAAAAATCCTACAGGAAGAAAAAATCTGAATTAACTAGGTTAATCAGTTAAACCTAAGATCCTGTCATGAAAGTTTCATAAATAAATATTAAAAAATGTAATATTAATAAACTAAATTTAAAAGAAAAGAAAGAGCAAAAAGCAAAAAAAAATTAAACAAAAAAAGATTAATTTAAAAGAAAGAAAAGGAAAAAAAACCTATATAAAAAAAACTAATGAAGAAAAGGAAAGAAAAAATTGAATTAATTAGGTTAACCCGTCAAATCTGGAATTCATGTCATGGAAATTTGATAATTGAATAGGAAAAAAAATACGAGTTAACCCAAAATTAGCTGGGTTAACCCATCAAACTCGGGATCCGTTCTATAAAAGTTTGATAACTAAATAGAAAAAATTTAACATTAACAAACTAAATTAAAAAAAATACTTAAAAAGAAAAACAAAAAAATCCGGGTTAACCAGGAAATCAATGTTATAAAAGTGTGATAATTAAATAGAAACAAATTCAACATTAACAAACTAAATTAAACAAAAAACATATTCATAAAAAAACAAAGAAAAAGGCAATAACAAACTAAATTAACAAAAAAATTAATTAAAAAGAAAAGCAAAAAATTTTGTTGGGTTAACTCGTCAATCCTAAAATCCGTGTCATCAAAGTTTAATAACTAAAAAATAATAATTAACATTAAAAAATTAAATTAAACAAAAAAATATTCATTAGAAAAATAAAAAAAAAACAACTTAATTTTTTTATTGTGGACTCAACTGTACAATCCGAGTGTAGTTAAGCTATTGTTGTTGTGGCTTGAAAAAAATTATTTTATAAAAAGTGCATTTGGTATTTATATATATTTAGTTAAAATTGTGATTAAAATTGAGGTTGAACAAAATATAGTTTAATATGTCTGGTTAGTAATGTTTTTGAAATTGAGGTTATAAAATAATTTTAAAAAATATATATTAATATTGATGGTTTTAATTTAAATACTGTAGATTTAACTATTCTTATCACATCATGAAATAAATAATACTTTATATAAAATATGTTTTATTGTTTTATTAAACTATCTACAATTTTATCACATATAAAATATATCCGATAAGGGTTACAATTTTTTTAGTTTCTTAAGCGCGCAGCAAAATCAGGTAAAATATAATTAGAAATAAAATTGAAATTACGATCAAATTTTATAAATAATATGTCATCAATCGATCTTTATCTAATTATATAGTGTTATTAAATAATATTAAATACTAGTTTTTTGAATAAAATTCAATTAAAAATAAAAAAGTATTGTTTATTTTTTATTTTAATAAATTAGACTTAGTTTAAGGTATATTGAACTTTGGACTAAACCCAATTTGACGGAAATGATAAAACTAGTTATATTATTCAATGAACACTGTAATATGCGGTATTATTCATGTTAATTATATTATTTACTAAACAATATATTTAATATAAATAATACATAACAAGCTATGCTTTTGTTTTCCTGCATTTAAAATATAAAAATATTATAAAATCACTAAATAACAAAATATTTTTTTACCAGATAAATTATATCAATAATTTAAATAAAACAATTACACAACCTCTTAAACAACCACTACGACTACGGTAATTAATAATTGCTGCATCGACCTTTGACATTTGCATGCCTGGGCCGTGCCAGGTATAATATGAGCTGGGAAGTCTGAATGGGCCTTCTTCTTTAGCTCGAGCCCATATTAGGTACAGTTTGCATCGCAGCCCCTGAACTACTAATATGTTTTCTTCAACCGGTTGGGTTTAATTATGCTGTTAATCTTGAATCTTAACCCACATATCATATCATGTCATGAAGAATGCATGTCTAATTAGAATTAACAGATTGTATGATAACATTGGAATTGAAACATGGACAGATTATATGCCATGTCATAGTAGCATGACAAGGCATGAGCGGGGAGCCAACTCTACATGCCATAGCATTCAATGCCATGTATAGATGGACATAGTCACATGAGCATGGGGATGGTCGGCAGAGACTGATGACGGATCCATTATTATATAATCAGTAGTAATTAATATTGATAGCATACATACGTAACCAGTGGCTGCTGAAGTTCTCGTCATGGGTCAGTCAGAATTGACGAGCATCCATGATAGATATTAGCCATGCGAGGCTGATGGCCATTAAATTGCATTCTAAGCAGAAAACTAGCTGGCTACCCAGCAAAAAAAAAATATACATCCCAGTGACAAACACGCGCGCCCTAGACGTGGCCTGAGCCGTTGATATCATGAGTCCATGTATTTTTCATTAAATAACAATGATAGTGTTTTTCTCACAAAAAAATAAAATAAAAATGATTCAGGTTTTACTCCCTGATATAATAAATAATAAAAAAATAATGATCATAAATATATAATTAAAAAAATAATAATCATAACTTAAAAAATTCATAGAGTGATAAAATTAGATAAAAAAACTATCATGTATCAATTTAAAATAGCATAAAAGATATATAATTTAAAT